CTTGGCTTCAGTTACCCCCTCGAATCTTTGGCTGGTTGGGACTTTCACATCGACCAATCTGGGACAGAGGGGACCTGCAAGCTCTATGACAGGGCACCGTGGGACAGTTTGAGCTCACCCCACCCAGTGTTCTTGGTGCAATGGCACAGGCTAAAAAGAAGTTTTGTTTGGCGGGTTGATGTCCCACAGAAAAGACTTCATGCCTATGGGTGAGATGAGTCGTGTGTGACATGCCGGGGTCCTCCTCTGGGCTGGTGATGGACGTACAAAAGTTGACCCAACCGAACATTCCAGGAAGTTCCTGACTTGAGTGCTCCGTCTTGCCGTGGTGGCCGCGCAGTACTGCTAATGAGTTGCGCTAAAGCATGCGAGCGTGTGAGTCTGGGCGGCCGCCTGACGCACTGGTGGATTCATTGCATTTCTTAGCACAGAGGGAGTAATGCACTTTGCCTGGGTGTCTCGTCCCCTGTAGTCCGTGAGCAGAGCATCAGAATCTTGAATTCCTAGCTAGTTGTCTGTGAAGGTCTGTAACTTATTGTCTGGTGGCCGCTCGCTTTGTAGCGACTATTTCAAATGCAAGCGGGAAGCTGGTTTGGACGGTATTGCCGCCGTGGCCGTGCAGCCTGTTCCTGATTGACAGAGCATCCTGCTTAGAGCTGGTGCGAATGCTCAGAATGGTGACGTCAGCATCTAGCATTTTGTGACCATTCCTTAAAATTGGTTGAAATTGGCTGCAGCCTCCTTTGCCACAAAATTCCCAGCGCACAAGCCCAGAAGGGGCACGTACACATCAGAAGCACGTGGGTTGTAACATGGGAATGGAGAGGCACAGAATCATTTTGAGCAAAATTAAAATTTATGTCTCTGCCAAATGATAGTTCTGCATCGCCCCCTCCTCCCCCCTTCAGAAAGGGAACCTAAATTCTGCGCATCATGACGATCATGTGACTTCTCCAAAGCGGGGGTGAAATCCAGCGGTAGGGGCTGGTTGTGCAGAGGGCATTGGCCTGACGTGACTAGCCAGTGTTGTGCACGGGCTTACTGCAGCTGGACCAAGCTACCCCAAAGGGGGGGGTAAAACCCGGCGGTGGGGGCTGGTTGTGCAGAGGGCATTGGCCTGACGTGAATAGCCAGTGTTGTGCACGGCCTTACTGCAGCTGGACAAAGCTACTGCCAATCGAGTGAGACCAAGTCGAAACAGAAGTGTGCTAGAAGGGACAATCATGTTCTGGATCAGCTGCCAGTTGCTTTAAATACTGCGTTTTATGTCATGCAGTTCAGCGTGACTCATCAATTAACCCCTTGTTAACTAACGTTCTTACTGAATAAGCGTTTCTAATAATAGTTAAAACAGAGTGACCGTTAGATTCCGAATGAGCTTTGTGGAGCTGGGCCTGCCTGTATACGTAGCAGCAGCTTGGGGGCTTTCTGATGGGGGTAATTAACCCTAAATCGCAGCCCAAACACCGGGCAAGGTTCTCCTTTGCCCACATGCCTGCTCAGGGTCTGTACGATGTCTCCAGTGCGGGCTGTACAGCCATGGCTTCCATTGTGGAGAGTGGCCTCAGCAGGGTGACTAGGTGGCAGGCTGGGGTGGAAATTGGTGGAGGTTTGACTCTTGTCCTTCCACAGAGTAGCCAGCATGTAAACTAGTAGCGGGTAACGTTTGCACTGATGCAAGGAGGAGCCCAGGGACTCAGCGTGACTCAGCGAGGCCTCTTGTCCTCCTCGCCATGCTCCGGGTGACACACCATAACACAACAGACACACAGGGCTCCTGTGCACTACAGGACAGATGTGGTCCCTGGCGCGACAACAGCAAGGCCTCGTGGAACACAGCAAGGCCTCGTGTGCCCAATATAGGGTTTACCAGGCGTCTGGGCTTTGCTGCTGCACTAAGACTAACGTTTGTTCTACCCCAATGAGAGGAAACTTGCGTGCCTGACTCGTGGGAACAAGCCCAGAATGGGCAGAAAACCCATTACACTGTAGAGGGACTCCAGCTGTGCTGCAGGGGAGGCCAGGCTGGGGAGGGAGTTAGGACGTTGGGACTGGAACCAAAGAAGTCCACTGCAAACTTGAAACTGAGTCACTAGGCAGTTGTATTCCAGGGATCTATGTAGGATCATACGGGCGGAGACACATAAGGCTGGGACGGATGTCAAGAGGTCATCTGGTCCATCCCCCTCCCCCCCACATACCTTGACCATCCCTGACAGATGTTCGTCCAAACTATTCTAACTGTGTTTCAAGTGACTGAAAAGCCAAGCTCAAAACAAAAGTGAAATCAGAACCTTTGAACTTAAAAAAATTACTTTTATTTTAGGAACCAATAAAATTATGGGAAATATTTACAAATAATTATCTCACATAAAGGTTACATAAAATCAAATGTCCACAAGTAACAGTCACTCTCATGAAAAGACACACGGATATTGAAACTACGCCAATCTTATTGCATGTTTCTTCAACTAATCTAAAAAATAAAAGTGTTGCAGTCAACCATTTAACTTAGAATAAAATCACAAAGTCCAGTATTGACAACAAAAAAAATGGAAAAACAAAACCAAACAAACCCCCCCTCGAAAACCATCCCTCCCGTTCATCCAATACCTCATTTCCCCCCGTCCCATCCCTCCTCCCCATCCGTACCCAAAATAACCCCCAAACCAAAAACCCCAAAATATGTTCGACATCTTTGGCAAATTGGCACTGCTGTAATTACATTCAAATATTATAACACACAAAAGCAACACACGGCACTAAGGAAAAAACACCAAGATTTCAAGTCAGTTCTTTTCCTACTAGAAAAAAAGAATACAAAACATACACATTTTAAGAAGCATTTTTTTTCTATGTGGAGACAGACATCTCCTACTTTCAAAGGCAATTAAATTGTTACTTTACGGGGGGTTGTTAATTTTTTTTGTTTGTATGGGTTTTTTTTCAGTTTTTATTTTAACAAGTAAGCTTCTATGCAGGCATCGCAGACTTTGGTGGATACAATAGATATGCATTTCTTTGATGCTGTAAGTCCCTAATACAAAGTAGTCTGTCTCTAAGAAAAACAGACCGTGGTTTTTCTTGGAAAGAAATTCCGTTTGCCAGAGAATGCATTTCTGTCATTTCAGAATATACAAAGGCCACTAGAAAGTGAAAAACCAGGATGAAGATTCTTGCCATACAAGGCTGAGCAAAGCAAAAGAAAGAGCTAAATAAATGCCCATCGTTGGCCATTTTCCTGTCTCATTTTACAAGGTCGGGTGGAAAGGTCTGGAACATCAGGCCTAATATAATGCCCACTAAGGTCAATGAAAAGCGTGCTAGTGATTCCAATAGACTGGATCAGCCCCATAGTGATACGTGACAATACATGGACTGTGGAAACAAATGCACATTCGCTCTCTGTGCAAGGGTGTCCCAAAAACCGGCCTCCCACTGACTCATATTCTGAAGCAGCGTGCATGCATTTGTCTTCGCAGAGGACTAATAACAAAACTCACAGCAAGAGTTGACAACTGAGCTGGCGGAGGCTAAAATGTGAGTGTTTCTGGTGTCAGGCCTGGCTTTGATGGGGTTTGTCTTTTGGGGTTGCCATGACGTCTATTAACTCCAACAGCAAAGCTATAAACCAAATGCGTTTCAGTTTATTTCTTGTGCTACATTTTGAAGTGGGTGTGGAGTGTAAAATGTATAGCCAGTAACTGACTTTTGAGAGGCTGGAATATTTAGCCCTTCACCTCCACAGATACAATCCAGTCGGCTTCGTCTTCGCTCCACAGTGAATTTGGGCTCTTACGCGGGCGCTATTTCTAACCACATTCTGGCCACACACAACTCCCGCAGCCGAGTGTGGCGATGCTTTCAGCCCACACTGGCTGGGCTAGACGCTATAGCGTGGAGGTGCCACATTCACTGGCCCAGCAACTCATGGACTTTGCACTGAGGATTCTGATCAATGCTGAAAATTCTCCAGTGACTTCCCACCATTGTCCCTGCCAGTCCAGGCAGACAAGTTCTCCTGCAATTCACTGGGAAAGAAGTCCCCGAGATACCCACAAAGCAGTGCAGCATCAGTGAGGCTGATCTGGTTGCCAATCACCTGCGTTAACTCAGCAGTGCAGAGAGATTTTTTGGGGTATTCACATTTCAAAATAAGAAACCCTGTGACATGGCTTCCTCCCGGTTCCACTCCAAGGGAAACACGCAGTAGGTAAACTTGAAAAATGGTCACACATTCAGAATGGGACTTTCAGCTAGGAGTAGAGATATGGCAGAATGCCCAACAAGTATGGGAGCAAAGAGCGCAAACTGGGCTGATCTGATCTTCCCTAACTGCAGGTGCATCGTTACCACTAATATCTAGAGGGCTCGTGTCTCTCCAACAAAGAAGAAAATATGCCACAATGCGTGTTTGCCTAGAACACCTTTCCACAACCGCCCATCAGATCTCTTCTGAGCCCAAAAGTTTCCAGTTTTATTTGTAACTGTAGCACTTCTTTATTGAGCACTGGGTCTGTACCAATCAGGTACTGCATCTGGAGCCCCCCCGCCCACCGAAGATCAGTGCATGTGCCCGCTGCTCCTGGCTGACGGCTAACAGAGGGAGCTCTGCCTCTCAGATACGTTTTGGAGCAAGATGATGGGCTTGGGATGGCGACGAAGGGGCGAGATACACAAAGACACAATGGCTACGTCTAGACTGGCATGATTTTCCGCAAATGCTTTTAACGGAAAGCATTTGCGGAAAAGAGCGTTTAGATTGGCACAGACTTTTTGTGGAAAAGCGTCCATGGCCAATCTAGACGCGCTTTTGCGCAAGAAAGCCCTGATTGCCATTTTTGCCATTGGGGCTTTTTTGCGCAAAACAGTTTTTAGCTGTCTACACTGGCCCTCTTGCGCAAATACGTTTGTGCAAGAGGGCTTTTTCCCGAATGGGAGCAGCATAGTATTTGCAGAAGAACACTGACAATCTTACAGTAGATCGTCAGTGTTCTTGTGCAAATTCAAGCAGCCAGTGTAGACAGCTGGCAAGTTTTTCCCTCTCCAACTTGCCAGTCTAGACACAGCCAACAAGTTTACCCAGGATGCGAACATTCCGTGTTTTCTTCCAAACCGTGCATGGAACGTGTCCCTCATGGCGGTGAGAAGGTCAGAAAATGAACAGGGGGACGTCACGCCACCAGAGGAGTCAGCAGGCATATGGGCAAGAGTCACAGGAGGTAATATTTGCCCAGAAAGCCATCTGTTGCCAGGCGCTAATCCCCAAAGAAACCTAAAGGATTTGGTTTCCCTTTAAAATGAATGGGAACGGTGTGCCCAGCTATGCAGGGGGAGGCAGTGGCAAATCCTCCTCCAAGCTGCCAGTAGTGGGAATGCGAGTGTGTTTGGAGGAGGCTGTGCCCAGGTTCGGGGACAGAGCATGCCTACGTGACGCACCCACTGGGTTTAAGCACTCTTCAGTGACTAAGGCAAGTGGAGTGTGGCCCTGGGTATGGCAGCTTGCTCTCTAAGTCGATGCACGCCCCCGTGAGGAAAGTTCCTACTGACACTGGGGCTGCGCCTTGCTTTTGTCATTCGCATAGCTAAGCCCATTTCCGTGCTGAGCATGTGCATGCCAGTGGCCAGCCACCTACTGCTTCCTCTTCTTGCAACGCCAAAGCTAGTCGAACTGTTCCAAGGCACCTCACTCTTCTAGACCACGTGGCCACCAGGCTCACCCCAGAGCAGAGAGCCAGCCCGAACACTAGGCACTCTCAAAATATCGCTCAACAAGGGCTTGTAGGCTGCCTCTCTGACGGGGGAGAAGGGGCATTTAATCCACTGTTCCGTCATTCCTCTACTTATGACAGTCTGTCCAACCTGGTACTTAGCAGTGAGAATCCCCAGTTTCCCAGCCCAAAAGGTCAGCCCTGCTTGGCTCAGAACGTCTCACAGCTGGTCAATACCTCTTTGTCTGATATCCTGGCACTAACCACAGCTAGAACCCCACTGCACCACCACGCTGTAACTAAGTGGAGCAACCAGCCACGTGGAACCTGATCACTAGAAAGGGAAAGAAAACGTGCACGCTTCCTGGCTGGTCATGACAGTTCTCTAGACATACACCAGCGTCACTCGACTCAGCCTTAATTATGAAACCCCCACTCCCATGAGACTTTGCAATAATATATTAGCCGATACGTCAGTTTCTTTTCAGTTGGGAAACGGAAAGAGCCTAATGTTCCAGAAGGCTCATAGTGCATGCAGGTTGGTGCACATGCCAATCAAAGAAACTCAGAGGGGATTCTAAGTAACCTTTATCCAAGAGAGAAAATTCCCTTTACAGCCCTACAGCTGAAAGATCATCCAGCGTTTAGTGAGGACTCAGAGGATCATTCTGGAAAAAACGGTCTCAGAGGAGAAGAATGCTGCTGCTTCCTTGAAGGAGAGAGCCACACATACTGCTCAGTAGCTTTTTAAACGGAATAATGTTTATCGGCTATTAATTGCTACTTTCGCCTGAGGGTCTGGGGATGTTTACTAACCTAGCCTCCTGGGTAGGACGCTCTGCCTTGGAAACTAGAGATGTCTCCGCTCCCGAGTCTGATGATCAGAAGACCTATTAAATATTGTACAAAGGTTTTGGAAGAAGCATGTGTCCAAATCCCGCCAAATTGCTACCGTGTGATTTGATGACATCCATTCAGAACAAGCAGCACAAAGATAAAATGGTAACTAAAGAAGTTCTCACTCTTTAGATAATGTTTGTACTTCAATAGCTCACTTATAGGAAACCTGTTTTGGGCAACACCCTTAGTCCTGGACCCAAGCCAGATTACTAGAGTATGTAAGTGTGCAGCAGTGTAACGATGGTAGAATTTGTCCCTGTCACACTAATTATGGCAACATTGCGGCAGGCTCTGGGGCAGGTCCTGAGCCACTGGGAGGTTTTCCATTGTCTTCAGTAGAAACACTTCTCTAACCTTCCCTTTTTGCAGATGAGACGTGCGCGTATCACACAGGATTAAAGAGCTGTTCCTTTGGGGAAAAATACGTACTTGATATGGTTCCATGGGATTGGTGGTGATTGATGTACTAGCTAGGCCAATCATTTGTAAGCTGCCCTCTTCTGTTCATTAGCTCTGGGAAGTCGAGACCACTGAACAAAATGTCACTTGGTTCTATAAATGCTCTTTCTTAGAGAGGGAGGGAGACTATACAGAAATAATGGGCCAAATTTATCCCCAGTGTAACTTTATAGCCCACTGTGTGCACGGAATGACTTTGAGAAATGTCTTCACTTAAACATATGGGTATCCCCAAATGGGTGTCCCCCCATCCATTTGATTTGTAAAGCAATGTTTGACTATTTCAGGGTGCAGGGCTGCCCCAAATGCAGTCCAGTTTGAGAGGTCCATTTGAAAAATCATCACCTTGGGATTTTTCTCATTTCTTTACAAAACAGAAATAATTGGGTGTCCGCATGTATGCTATATAGATGTACACAAGGGCTTGGTTATTAATTAGGAATTCCTTCTCTGATGTGATTTAACTTGAAAGCAGAGAATTTGTTTCAGTGCTAGTTATGATTACAAATAAACATAAATTAATACTTAGCAGTAAAATGTCACAAACTGCCCATGTCTTTCGGTTGCTCGTGTGCACCATGCTAGCTCATCGCATGTTCACACCCGGACTGTCAGCTATGACGCTGTATATAGAAATTACATCAGCTCCAAACACAGCCACAATGAATGTTAACCTGGTTCAAAGTCGGTTAAAGCTTACTGAATTCTTTGAATCAGTGCACCAGTTTCAAAACACATTTTCAGATGCATTTTGAGTTCATAATTTGTACCATGTTGCTGTTTACGCTAAGCCACTCAAAGTAACACAAAGAAGCAAGTTATTTACATAGGTGCCGTGTAAATTGAGCAGACCAACCCTTCTTTATATATTTTTTTAGAAAAGCCAGACCACCCATGTTGAGTCACACAGCCTGTGTCAATGCACCTTACGAGAGATGCCCCACGTTGGCCTGCTTAATGTCAGAACTGTGTCCAGCCCCCAGGCACAGCTGAGAGAACCAGAGGCAGTGAGATCAGTAGGCTGTGGGTAGGATGCAGCTACTGTACCTTTCAAACCAGATGCAATGGCAGCAGAACGGGTTTCTCCTCTTTCTTTGTTTTGTATGAGACCCCAGTTAATATTGCCAGAATTTCATTGTTTTTAAAAAACAATAATAATTAGTCCACCCCCTTTAACGAGTAAAATTTCAGCCAGCGCGTGCTAGTGGATACTTTCCTCTTCCCTCCTTGCAGTCTGATTTGCATGGTTATTTCTAGGTGAATCGGGTGCCATTGGCTTGGATGATATGTTTAATAAGTGCTTGAGTTCCGGACTCCGTGGGTCAGTGACGGTCATAGGCAGCAGCAGCTGCTGGGGGGGCCGCTCCTCGGGCTGCAGCACTGTAATAATAAGGAGAACCTGGAAGAGAGAAGATAAGAACATAAGAACGGCCGTACTGGGTCAGACCAAAGGTCCATCTAGCCCAGTAGCCTGTCTGCCGACAGTGGCCAGCACCAGGTGCCCCAGAGAGGGTGGACCGAAGACAATGATCAAGCGATTTGTCTCCTGCCATCCTTCTCCAGCCTCTGACAAACAGAGGCCAAGGACACCATTGATGGCCATGAGGATCACACAGGTCAAAAGGGGGCAGCCTGCCCAACACAACCACAGACACCTGGCTGGAGTCAGACCCACGCTAATAGGGGCCTGCAGAGTGGGAGGAACAACAACAACGCTACAGACACATCACTTTGAAACAGTAAACACCAGAATGCGTCTGGCGGCACTTCACGTTTCGGTCGCCCTTGCTGTATCTTCCGCTCTCGTCCTGCAAAGAGATCTGCCAGCCAAGAGCATTGTGGCCGCGTGGAGTCCCCTGGAAGTAAGGTGCACTCCAAATGGGTCCATGCTGTCAGACTCCTTTATGGGATCGAGGCCTTTGTCTGGATTAGGGCTGGTTGGGGAGTATTACAGAAATTTGGAGATGGGAGGATTGGCTTTGTCAACCTTTCCTGGCATTTATGAACCTATTTGGTATTAGAAACCATTTTAAAACTATCACCAGTTCTGTTATCTGCTAAGTGTCTGGTATTGCTAACTGTGTCTGAGCTTTGAAATTGGTTACTGGAGTCATTAGTGGATCAAACACACAAGCGCTCCAGCCAATACACTAATTTTTTATTGAACACAGGCATTCAGCATTGACTACGTATATGCAGCTGAATCAAGCAAACTGGTTTCATAGCTTTGCAAATTCACGAGGGCTTGAGTATGCCTGAATCAAATCAAACCCTGGAAGTTGCATAATATTAGTGATTGTTTTCTGTGCTCTTGGAATTGAGCATTGCTAGCTGGGACTGTCCTTTCAGCATCGGCTGGAGCCCAGAAGTTTGTTTGACTGTGGGGGTGTATCTGTGTCTAGACACCACAGCATACAAGGAGGATGGCCAGCATTGCTAGGCTATGAGAAATAGATGCAAAAGGGCTTCATCTTGGCCTCAAAGGCTGCATCCACAATTTTACATGCCCAAAGTTTGGGGCATGCCATGTGGCTCTGAGAGTGTGGGTTTGCCTACACTATGGAGAGGGCAAAGATACTTAAATGTATCCCTTGGTCTCCAAGGAATCTGGCAGGTTAAAGGAGTCACCAGCCTATCCATTCACACTGATCCAAGCCTCCTCCTGGCAACCTGAGCTGGTCTAACCAGCTGGCACAGTCCCCCAGTCCGTGGGCACACTGTGTGCCTTACGAGGCCCAAGGCATGAATGAAGGTCCTCCTAGAGCATTAGCAGCAAATCTCCTAGGCCAACCAAGACAGTGACCTCCCCTAGCCAATTGTGCTAGGCTTGCTGGTGAGCCCCAGTGCCCTCAACTGGAGCTGACGGTGCACAGCACGTCAGTCAGTCAATCAGGCCCTGCAGGTACAAGACAGTAAAAAGGGGCTGAAAGAACAAACATGCGTCCCCCACCTTGCATCCTTCCCCTCGATGCACATGCGCGCGCGCTCTCTCCCTCTTTCTCTCCCTTCCTCCCATTTTGGGTGCCCAGCTGTAACATCAGAAATGCAAGAAATTCTGTAGCGAGCTTTGCATGCACACCAAACTTGGTCTCTGGTCACAGCGCTTCATTGCTGCACGGAGCTTGGGAGGCTGTGTTTGTGACTTCTGGGGAGAGCAGGTGGAGACTTGGGGAAAGTCCTGACATTGCAGGAGCCTGACTGAATAAAGAGATGATGGGTCAGTCTTTGAGGGCCTGGCAGGGTGCGTAGGAAGCTTGAAGCGCTCTCCCCATTATTCCCCCCATAACACAGCAGCCAAACCACTGAGCTGTCCATTTCAGCTCTCGGGGAGCCTATGCCAGAGCTATGGATATGGTTCCCATCTCAGGCCACCGTACACCAGCGTGGACTACCATGCTCAAAACAGAGTATAGTTGTGCCATGGCTCCACTACTATTTCTGGCCTGGCCAATACTGTTCTATTTCCATAGAACTGTACAATCCTAGGACTGGAAGGGACCTCGAGAGTCATTGAGTCCAGTCCCCTGCTCTCACGGCAGGACCCAGCACCGTCTACACCAACCCTGACAGGTGTCTGTCCAACCTGCTCTTAAACATCTCCAGGGATGGAGATTCCACAACCTGCCAGGCAAGCTCCCAGCCGCTGGCTCTTTTCTTATGCTCAGAGTGTCAGGTGGTCCAGGCAGCAGCCTCCAGTGTGCTGTGAGCCAGGGAGGGCACTTCCCAGCATGCTTCCTGCTCCAGCCCCAGGGAGAATGGCGGGGCTGCTCCCTTCACACAGGGATTTTCTCTAGGAAACGTGTTTCACGTTGTGTCCTCAGCACTACTGCGCTGCGCTGTTTGCTGTGAACAGTGCTGCTTCTTTCAGCTGCAGCTACCAACGCTACTGAAATGGTTCCCATTGCCAGCGGCTGCTGCCTGTGGTCACCAAGTACCACGATCCCTGATTTACAGCCAATACTTCCATGCGCCAAGGGGGGGCCTGATGTTCCCATAAGTCTCCTACTAGCCTCCTCTGGCTCAGGCAGGGCAGCCACGTTCTCTGGCCCCTCATCAGAGCAGGAGACGCCTCAGGACATTGCTTTACTAGCACACAAATACCCCGGCCAGGAGCTCAAGCCAGGCAGCTGTACCAGGGGCAACCGCCTTGCCATGGGTAGCATGGTTCTCAATGGAGGCGCAGCCAATTACCCTGAGCTACTGCAACCCAGCCGGCAGAAGGGCCTGGCTTAGAAAGGTCGGAGCCCCCACAGCTCTTCTCTACTTGGGCTGAGCATCAGTAACGAACAGCTGCACCAGGGGTCACTTCACATGCCTACAAGTAATTCCTGGTAGGGCAGCTACAGCGCGGAGGCTGCTGTGTCAGCCGTGAGCTCCATCACGGGATGCAGGGATGAGTTTCTGTACTGCAACATCCCTCATTGGACAGCCCAACCCTCCCACCCTTGTGACTGGCAAGCCTGCTGCGGAGGAGGTGGGATAGAGGGTAAGAGCCGAACAGCACTAGCTGCAATTCAGGGTGAAGGGCCCAGTGCCGCAGAGGTGGGAGCACATGCTTAGCATACGGGGACATGTAGTCCCAGTGAAGTTAGGAAGACGGTTTTCTTGTGTAAAGATCAGCCATTGTGATCCTATTTTCACCTCGGACGAGCAGAAGACTGGACTCTCTCGAGGGCAGAAACACCGCGCATTTTCAGCTAGCTCACATGGGCGCTGTATTGCTTTAAGTCTTGAACAACATAACAGGTCAGATGACAAGAAGTGGAAGTCATCTTTGCACCCAGTGCCTAACAGAAAGGGGCTGGCGTTAGGAGACAGCGAATACGTATCGCAGGCAAGCTGCAGGGCAGCCTTTTTAAATATCCCAACAATGAAGTATACGAGAAGATAAGGCTTTAGGTAGGAGGCTGGAGAGGGAAATTAGACATGCAGTAGCCCTTGTGCATATACTTGTGTAGCTACTGAATGCGGAGTCCCTTGTGGCTAATTAGGTTTTACATCCCTCCACGTTCCAAGGTAGAACTGATGTGTTACATGTTGGAGCTCCAGATGTTCCCGATTAATTTCATTTGCGCTCGCTCTCTGTGAGCCCCAGCACAGATGAATAAATAACACTGCCACTTCATCTTTTAAAAATGGCGTCTCTTTCTCTCAGTTCTCCACTGCTTATTCGATATGTTCACCCAGTGCTGGCCAGAAATGAGCATTTTCTGGTGAGCACAAAAGAAAGGAAGCTGCCATTTCTTTAGTCACTGTCCATTGCTGGGTTTATTCGTCTTGCCCCTGCAGAACTCTGGATAGGGGCATGGCACCAGTTACAGCAATGAGTTAATTTTTCCTATTCTGCTACAGGTTTTATATATGCACATATTCAAAGGCACATTCTTGTTTCATCCCCAGTGGCCAGGGGACAAAAGTCCCCTTTAATTCAACACCTGGGAAACATCCAAGTGCCTTCTCATCACAATCAAGCTCACAGGTCCTTCTCCCATGAAACCCAGGACTCTCATAGGAAAGCAAAATATATATGGTCTCAAACTGCTCATTGTGGGGAGCTCATCAGCCCCGTTTGAAGCTGTCTTCTGCTTTCATTGGGCTCTCTACAGTGCTGCGTTTTCCTTTGTTTAAAGGAAAGAACCAGTGGGATGCTGTCTCTGTTGATGTGCTACACAGGAAACACTCACCATTTGCAGTGGATGAGGAGACATGGGGAGAAATCACCAAGGCACGGTCAGACATCATCGAGAAGTCAACAGTTCAAGGCATAAGCGAAATATGCCTATTTCAAACATAAACCTGAGACTAGACATCAGCCATCACTGATGATAATGCAAGGTAGGCATCTTTGGATACAAACATTTACTAGGTGGCAATTGGCACATATTTCAAAGTGAAAGCCCTTCTCTCGTGTCTCACCAGCACACAGGTGCACTGAAGAGGGGAGAAGTAAATATGAATTTTGTTCAGTATATTTATAAGAGTATCTCTAATAAAACATTGGTATTCCTGGGAGCTCCTGCAGTGACCAACACAAAGAAACACCCACTGTAGTAAGGAAACCCAGAAGAGAGACTGGATGGAAAACAAGCAGAAGACAAACTGCTCTACCCTCAGGAATGACTCTGTGGTACGTGATAGAAGCAGCATCAACCCAACACATGGAAAGTGATGTCCAGAAGTTCCAAAATGGAAAATAATTTATTGTTGTCATTAATGAGGAGAAGAAGGAGTCTCTCTCCTTTGTCATGTTCTAAACTTTGTGGTGGAGTAATATAAAAGCCAATAGTGTTAGCCTACTGCTCACAGAAGACCTCCCAATGGTGGGTTTACATTACAATCCCCACTTTTCAGAGGGGAAACAGAGATGCAATCAGATTTTAAGGACAAAAGGGACCGTTATGAACATCTAGTCTGGCATTCTGCACAGCAGAAGCCAGAGAGAGAATTAAGATGAGAACCCAGGTCTTCTGTCTCACAGAACCACCTCTTCATTCACAGAAGCAGCAACAGCGTCACTGATTTCAAACAGAGCCACTTTGGATTATGCCTCTGCTGAATGTGTCTTTTTTAAAAATACGTAACCTACAGGTGACTTTGGTGAGAGACATTCTCTGGGAACAGCTGTCACACTGTTCAAAGATGTGTCATGGAGATGCAATGAGGCTCTCACTAAGGAGGGTTGGTAGAACAGGGTTGAAGTAGGTGAGTTATACTGGATCGGCTATCTTGCTCCATTCGGAAAGCCTCCCCACTTCCAAGAATGAGATTCTATTTTCTGCTTCTGGCAGGTCTGTGCTGCAATGCACAGAGGGTGTTTGGCTCCAAGGTTTTGCTTTGGAAACACCTGCAATGTGACATCAACTGAAAAACAGAAGATTGTTCAAGAAAGTCCTTTTCTAGTGCATTGGTTGCCCTGCCCCCAGTTAACTGAGCCAAGAGGACAATACAATGCATTGGAGGCCCAACCATCCAGACGTGTGCTTCAGCATAGATTCCCGATGCAGCACCAACAAAGAGCAAGGTGTAGAGAAAGCTCTGCTTTGTACAAATCAGTGATTCAGAGGGTAACAACCAAGCAGGTCTCCGTGTTATGGCAAAAACACAGAAAGTTTAAGAAAAAAATAGATAATTGTTGGCCAAAAAATAGAGGGTGATATCCACGCCCCATTGAAGTCAATGGCAAAACTCACTTTGGCCATGTATTCTCTACCAGGAAGATTGACGCTGAGGTGGTCGATCTTCCCGAGTTCAATATAACAGGTCTAATAAAGACCCACTAAAGCCAACGGTGAGGGAGTCCCTGTCAATGCCGGTACGCATCCATTCATAAGGAGTAAGGGAAGCCAATGGGAATGTTTACTCCCGTCGACCCTCCACTGTGGAAACAATGCCGAAGGCTGAGTTAAGGTACGTTGACTCCAGCTACACAGTTAACATAGCTGGGGTTGCGTATCTTAATTTGACTTTCCAGTTAAGAACAGAGAAGGCCTCTGACTTCAATGAAGCCAGGATTCCACCTTGAATCTCACTGGACTGAAAGAATGAAAAGCCATTTTCCTCCAGCTTCCTCCTGCCCCCATTACTTTTCCTCCTCGGAGCGGTGATTAAAGCCCAATATGTCTCTGAGGCTGCTCAGCAGTACCACATTTCTTGTAAGTCTGATTTTCTCCAATTCACATTTCTGTGGTGAAATCAAAAAGGCCTGTATTTAAAGCGAAAAATGAAACCATCACATCACAAAACATTCACTCTCTCCTCCTGTCATTACCCTCTCGTCTAGAATAAACTTGTCCGCTCTTCTGCCATTTTTTCTTTCTAATTCATATAATCATCAATTTATTTCTTGACACAGTCATTTCTGGCACATACTTGTTCTCTAATCCTTTTATAGAAACACTCTGAAGAACTTATTCGAATCCTAATTGACCGGTTCCAAACCTCTTTCACCTCATATGAAGCCATGCCAATAATGTCAATCTTATGACTCCGTCTCCTGTAACAACAGCTAGCTAGTTTAGGGGCATTGAAAAGGGAACCCTGCCATCCTCACTCGCATTTCACACAGCACACAAATAGCATCAGTTCAGAAGTGGGAACAGTGCATCAAACCAAATCTGCCGTGATCAACAGCCAGTCGAAAGCAATGAGGGAAAAGGGTAAAGAAGTTATTACAACAAACCAGCATGACATTGAATCATTTTTCTTCATTAGACTTGTTGCTATTACCCACTTTATGCATGCTTGTAGTACGCAGACATTAAACAAGCAGGCTCGCGAGACCTCACTACCGGAACTGACCAAATGCTCACGCGTGTTCATGCAAATCATAGCAACCGCTAGGATTTTAACACTGCAGCGGAAAACAAAGAAGGTGATACCTGGACTTGCGATTGTTCTCTCTGTTACTCCGGCAGAACTGCGGGCAGGAAGACTCACCTAGCAATCCAGGGTTGGGAAATCTCCAGGAGTCGTTGTATGTTGAGTACTGTGGGTGGCTGTACGGACTTCCAGAAAAC